CAGCTGCCGCCGAATTGAAAAAGAAGAGAACTTTTAGAAAGTACTCTTATAGAGGAGTTGATCTTGATCAATTATTAGACTTGACTAGTGATCAATTGATGGATTTGGTTCATTGTAGAGCAAGACGTAGATTTCAACGTGGGCTCAAACGTAAACCAATGAGCTTAATTAAAAAATTACGTAAAGCTAAAAAGGAAGCTCCTCCAAATGAAAAACCTTCGGTTGTTAAAACTCACTTACGTGATATGATAATTGTGCCTGAAATGATTGGTTCTGTTATTGGTGTTTATAATGGAAAAACTTTTAATCAAGTTGAAATTAAGGTGAGGAATCTGAAGGAAAATTTACCAAAGAACAGATTTCTATTTTTTTTTATTTATTAATTTTTATTTTCTTTGAACGCGATAGCCTGAAATGATCGGCCATTATCTCGCGGAATTCTCCATCTCATATAAACCTGTTAAACACGGTCGTCCTGGTAAGTAAACGTATACGGTACTATTATCATCATATCTCCATCACATTGATACCAATTAACAAATATGTTATTCTATAGGTATCGGTGCAACTCATTCTTCACGTTTTATTCCATTGAAATAAGAAATTCATTTAATATTATAATATTAGTGAGGGGGGAAATAAAAAGCTCAAATTTTTATTGAAGAATGATTTGAATTAATTATTTTTCCTTCATATGAAACATATAAAAATTATTTTCTAATAAATGTGACACCCTCAATAAAATTTAATATGATAACTTATTCTTAAAACTGATTTAAAAGATTATTTCTTATCAATGCTTGATCCTTGAATTTGTTCCAACCCACTTTGTTTTTCGATCCATTCAAGTAATCCTTTAGAAAAAACATCTTGTTTCAAGATTTTTTTCTCTACATAAAATTTTTTTCTCTCTTTATTATTTTCTCCTCGCCTTATCCAAGTCACCCATTGAAGTCCCTTATTTTGAATTTCTTTTAACTCGGATAATCTAAGAGTGGTTTCTTCTATTCTTCCTAACCAATCAAAAGTTTCTACTGTAAGATAAGGATCTCCTGAAGAATGTAAGGTATACGGATTAAATGATTTTCTCAAAGAAGGCTCATAGCGACGTTGTGGAGGAAGATAAATGAATATACGAGATACATATGTTGCACTTAAGTAATTTATGAAACATAATGGAACTATCGCTGATATTCCGGCTATCAAATTGAAAGAGAACATTTACAATTAAAATATGATAATATATGCGCGTCATGGCAATTGATAATACGTACCTCCGGCTGCACCAACGATAGGTGCTTTTCCATAAATATAAATAGAAGGTATAAGTAAAAAACCACAAGTACAAAATAGCAGAGCTAATCTTTTATATCTTCTAACATGATAAGATAAAGGTCCAACATAAATCGACATTCGATTTTCTAAATTTAATTTTGGATTTTTATGTGCTGCAATTTTTTTTAAAGGTTTCATTGTTGAAGTATCGGTAACATTTGTTAATAATCGTGTTTGATATAATAAACTCGTTGTAGGAAATAAACATTTTGATTTAAATAAATATGTTGTAAAATGTGAATGGTTTTTAATTAAAAGAATTTTATTGATCATATTTTTTTTTATATATATATATATATATATTAAATTAAATATACAATGCGAATTCGACGCGCTATATAAAAAAAAAATTCCAAGATCGTGTAACGTTCGTTCATTTAACATCAACCATTTTATCGTAAATCATTTCATTTTCAATTTAGTGTTTACAAATTTTTATTTTTTATAATAAAGAAAATGAGACGTGCAAAAGTATTTTCTGGTTCTTCACACCCTGAACTTGCGGATTTTATATGCGAAAAGTTAGGAATACCTCCCGCTCCTGTTACTTTAAAGAAATTTAGTAATCAAGAAACCTCAGTTGAAATTGGTAAGTATCACTACACGTTTTCTTATAAGGTTTGGAAATGCTAACCTGAATTTACCAATAACTTCGATTTGATATTATTTAACATTGAATCTGATGTAACTTTATTTTTATTGACGGATAATTCAGGGTGCTCCGTTCGTAATGAAGATGTTTACATTATTCAATCTGGTTCAAATAATATTAATGACCATCTTATGGAATTATTAATTATGATTTCAGCATGCAAAGGCTCATCAGCAAGTCGAATCACTGGTAATTCACTTATCCTTGGTTAAATTTAATCGTATTTTGTGATTTATTCATATCTATATATCTCTCACTTTATTTATTTAGCTGTTATGCCTTATTTCCCATATTCGAAACAAAGCAAAAAGAAAAAATATCGTGGGGCCATAACGGCAAAGAGTAAATATCATTTATTTTTAATTAAGAAATATGTTATTTAATCTAACAATTTATTGATTTTGATTTATTCAGTGGTGGCCAATTTGCTTTCGGTCGCTGGTGTAGATCACATTATCACGATGGATCTTCACGCGTCACAAATGCAGGGCTTTTTCAATAAGCCAGTTGATAATTTATACGCTGAACCAAGTATCGCTAAATGGATTCAAGATTCTGTTCCTGAATACAATAATGGCGTAGTCGTGAGTAAAAATGCTGGCGGTGCAAAAAGGTACATTAATCACACGTTTTACGCATTTCTTTCATATTGACACGATCTTATTCGTTTCTTAATTAATTCATTAGAGTAACGTCTCTTGCCGATCGTCTCAAAATTGATTTTGCGCTCATTCATACTGAATGTACACGAGGTTCTCACCAATCAGTTGGGAATCAAGTAACCGAAATATCAACCCTTTCTTCTACTTCTTCTAGTAATCATGATAATGTTTTTCATACGTCAAATATGACAACTAATCTTACCACATCAATTGTTGATGGAAAACTCGATGATGTAAATGACGATGATGTTCCTTTGTCAAAAGAATCGATAGATGAAGAAACTAGTAGTACTATAACACTTGTAGGCGACGTTGCTGGAAAAGTTGTCTTTATAGTCGTAAGTGATTAAATAGAATTATTCAAAGTATTTCATACTTAAAAAAAAATTTTTTTTCGATAAAGATTATTTGTTTACGTATAGGATGATATGGTCGACAAGTCAGGTTCGTTTATAGCAGCCGCAGAACATTTGATGAAAAAGTGTAACGCAAAACGTGTTTACGTAATTGCTACTCATGGAATTTTAAGTGGTGATAGCATCAAAGAGATAGAGCGTTGCAAGAGCATACATCAGGTTAGAATTACCTACTCATGTATTTCTTGATTGTATGCAATATTGACAATTTTACTTTTCTTTTTATAGCTGGTAATTACAAATACATTTCCAATTCCACACGAGAAGAGATGTCAAAGCACAAAGATTGTAATAATTGATGTCTCGGCTACTTTAGCTGAAGCAATTAGGAGAACTCATAATGGCGAAAGCATTAGTTATTTATTTTATACTGCATTATAAATAAAAGTTTCAAAAGCTTTTTATTAAACGACATAATGAAAAAAAATTAATAAAATTTTGTTTGTGCAAAGTTCATTGATAATATGATTATTACTGTAGGTGAAAAATATTTCTACAAAAGCAATGGTTCAATGGTTCAAAATTTGTTTTTGCTATAACGATAAATACGGTACTAAGTAATATAATAAATAATGTAGTATGATTTATGATTTATGACAAATGGAAAATAATTTAAGCCCCACATCGTATTGATCATTCTAAAATCATTGCCGAACTGTAACATTAATATGAACCTTTGGTTCAACAGTAGTAACAGCAGATAATAATTTATCTATGACAGAATCTTTATTTTCGTTAAAAGCCTTTTGAACTGCTTTTAGTTTTTCTTCTGTTTCTGATGCAACTTTAACAGAAGATTGATCCGAAGATCCAACATGCTAAAAATATACATTTATTCACATTAATATCAAAATAAAAATATGTATTTAAAACTGTAAACAAGTAGAATTATTTAAATTTACTTCAGCTTCAAAATCTTGAAATTCCAAATTTTTTTGTTCCTTTAATTCTTCAATCTCTCTTGCTGCTTCAGTTCTAGCATCTTTCAACCTTTGAACACGATCTGTTATGAAAAAAAACGATAAAAAAAAAATTAAAAAATTTTTATTTTGGTAAAGGGAGGGATATAAATGACTTAAATAACTTTACATGCTCTAGCTTTTTGAACGATTCTTGCAGCATCCTTTTCAGCTTCCAACAATGTTTGGATTCCTTGAGAGTTTTGATGATGTGTCTACATAAAAACAAACAGTAATTTTAGTTAATGAAACTTCAATAAAGGAACGAGATCTATAAAAATAAAGAATATAAATATATATTATTAACCATTATGAATAAAATTTAATGAGTGAAGTTGGATCAAAAAAATTGCTTTGTTATATACCAAATATTTATGCGTTACGAGATATCTTGATTTACTAAATTTGGTATAAAATCTAAAATTTAATATCTTAAATATCGGGAATGTTGTTTGTAGATGATCGATAATCAAATATAGATAGATTTTTATGAAGAAGGCGGTTACGCAAAATTCATGTTACTATAAAAATGATCTACACGTGACTCTTTTGTCCGTTTTCCGAGCTGGAATGTATTTTTTTTTTTTAATAGTGGTTGGTAACAATAAAAGAATATTGCAAAATCATTGCCTATATCGTTAATCTTTTTCGATCATAATAAAGAAAATTATAAAATTCTTGTTTCTCTCAATAAAACATAAAAATAAGAAAAAAAATGTAAAATCATTAGCTAACTCTTTGAGAAATTTGTTGATTTTTTAAAGAAACAATTACATTTTAACTTGTAATTTAAGTGTAATATGTATGTACCAAAATCTAACAATAATTTCATTTAAAGATTAAATTAAAGTTTTTTTACGAATCGGCTCTTAAGGAAACATAAAAATTTACAAACCGTTAAAGAAAATTTATAAGCAAACCTTCCCAAATCGTATTATATTATTTTTTCAATTAGATAATTATGCTCAATAAAAGGTTAAGATTTTTTAAAAAAAAAAAAATTTTGATTTTTATATTAAATGCTTATTAAAAGAACTTTGCTAAATCAATAAAAAAATTTTTTATAAAAAACTAATTTTAAAACTTTTTATTTTAAAAATGATGACTAAAGATAGTTCCCATAATTATTTTCAAATTTCAATTGAGTTGCAACTTAATTGCATCATAAGAAATTTATTGCAACTCAATTGCACCATTTTTTTTAATTGTGATGCCTATTTTAATGATGACCATTAGTATTCCGCATGGATTCAGATCTGATTCATCAGATCTGAATTCAACTTTTTTAAAGCTGAAAAGTTCCTTTTCAATGAAAAGGAACAAATTTTTGGACTTCTTTAGAGCCAAAAATTTGTTTCCTTTCATTGAAAAGAAACGAATTTTTGGAACTCTTTTAGAGCTGAAAAGTTCTTATTGAAAAGAAACGAATTTTTGAAACTCTTTTAGAGCTGAAAGGTTTTTTTTAATAAAAAGAAATGACTTTTTGTAACTCTTTTAGAGCTAAAAAGATTCCTTTCAATGAAAAGGAATGACTTTTCAGAACTTTTTTAGAGCTGAAAAGGTTCCTTTCAATGAAAAGAAATAACTTTTCAGAACTCTTTTAGAGCTGAAAAGGTTTTTTTCATTAAAAAGAAACATTTTCAGATCTCTTTTAGAACTAAAAATTTGTTTTTTCAATAATATTTTCAGATTCAGATCAGATTGGATTTGAACTTAAACTAATTTGTTAGATCTGAATTTGAGATTCAATTTATCAGATTCAGATCGAATCTGGATTTCAATAGATCTATTGGATTCAGATCAGATTCAAATCCTGAAAATAAAAATCAGATCAGATCAGATTTTATCCAAATCTGATCTGATCTGATTTTGCAGAACATTAATGACTATTAAAGAAATTAAATAATAATTAAATAAATCAAAAGAATATTATGAAGAAGTAGTAGAAAATTTGAAGAAATTCAAAGAAGTATAGAAAGAAAAGAGAATATGGGAATTGGTAAAGAAATTGAAAAAAGAAATAAGATGCAAAGAAAAAGGTGGGAAAATCTAAGAGAAATATTAGAAAAAGAAAAGAAAAAGTTAAAAGTAGATAAAAATGACAAATGGAAATAAGCAGCAAAATAGTGGAATACCACATATAATATAATTATATTATATATAGTATTTCACTTATCCTAGTTTATAGTATTACATATAATCTAAATATCACATATGATCTAAATATCTCATATAATCTGAATATCACATGTAATTTAAATAACACATAGAATCTGAATATCGCATATGATCTAAATAATATGATCTAATTACTATATATTATCTAAATAATATAGTCTGAATACCACATTTAATCTAATATTTTATTATTTCTTATATCACTTTTACATTCTAACTATATTTTTAAGTCTTTCTTGATATTGGTATTTTTTATACTAATATACTTTTATTACTACAATATAATCTAATTATTACACGCATATAATCTAAATACTACACTTTTCTTCTTGTTTCTGAGTTGTTTATATGCTAAATTCTATAATAGAGTTATTGGTTCTCTGTAGCTGTTTGGATATCTAGTTTTATATTAAAGATACTGAACCTCCTGCATCTGGTTAGGTGTTAGATTCTATATTAGAGTATTTTTTCTTTATGCCTATTTGGTTGCCTTTCTAGATCCCAAAATGTGGTAAAAAAAATATTATATCAGGTAGCGTAATAGATCTGTGATTAATTTTGGCTAATCTTTTGAGTATATAATTTGAGAATCTAGCTCGACACTATGATAGTGACTTAATAATACTATAGTAATGTCATAGAACTATCATAAAACTATTAAAGAACTGATTAGAGCTAGAAAAATTCTATTACAGAAAGTGAACAAAAGTTTTCGAACACCTTTATAAATGCGATTTAACAAATTTTCATTATATAATTGTGATACTATACTGTGGTTATACAACTGTCTATTGTTTATTTAAATAATCAAAATAAAAAAATTTGTGTTGTTTTTGTTATTTTGACTTAATTCACTTAATATCTACTAAATCGAAAAATAATGAGACAAAATAAAGAATTAACCAAAGAACAATATGGAGTCATATTTTACTTGACCAGCCCAATATCCTGATTTTAACCCAATTAAAAATTTATGGGCTGATATTAAAAAAATATTTATGCATATAAAAAACTACCATTGAATCTTGCTGATCTCAACTGCTATGTTAAAAAGACATAGCGAAAAATTCTAATGCATACTATTGAAAATTTAGTTGATAGCATACCACAGTGAATTCAGGCTATGATTGCAGTAAAGGGAGGCCCAACCAAGTACTAAAGCTTAATATGAAATGTATGCCTTAACCAGCTCTAAATAAAATAATATTAGAATTTTTACTATTAATGCTAAAGAATTAT